TAATACTTGATCTAGGAGTTCCCTTGTCTTCTGGATTAGGTTCAAAATTACTACGCTCCGTAGTTGAACATTAGTAGTGGTAAACCCAGAAAATTGGGTCGGCTGTTCAATGACAGTTATAAAATCAAATACAAAATCACTTACATTTATGCCTTTGTCATTAAGAAAAGACACACTAGTATCAAACAAATATTCAGATTTGGGCCTTTCAATTGGAATAAAATTCAAAAAATGATCCCCGAAAATCTGAACACCAAATATAAGTTAATCTATGTGGGAAATGTTTGGTGTTAAACCAACACTCACTTACAAATATTTTGCTTTTTTTAGTTCTGCAATTATTTTGTTTACTTTATATCTCATTTCCATGCTCTATAATGCACACATTAGAATGCTACTAATCATTTAAGCCATTTCAGAACTAAATGCATAGTTAGTAGTTGAGAAAAGACGGCATGAAAAACATTAGAAGACTTTAAGAGTGGCTAACTTTTGAACTTTGAAACATACAATCATAGCTGCCAAGAGAAAATCCAGTAGATTTTACAAAATAATATAAATTTCATGATAATTGTTTCACAACGTACTAAATACTTTATACATAGGGGATTTTAGGGACTTTTATAGCCATCAAAATAGAAAGAATGCATTATTTTTTTAGTTAGAATTGATATTAAATGAACTTGAAATATTATGTATTATGTTTACTCATAATTTTGAGTAGTACTAGGCATTTAATTCATCACAGATATTTCAGAAATTTTCTGAATTTTCTTTTGTTCTGAATGAGAACAAACTGAACATTTTAGAATAAAACAAAAGTTTTAAACTGATTTTTCTAAATGATATTCGCTTCATTATTTATTAGTAATACTTATTTAAATATTCATGCAAGCAATAACAATCAGTTCAAAAATTCTATTTAAATATGGATTTTTTTAGTAAACTTACTCAATTTTAGGGAATTTTCTAAAATTTCCTGAAACTAGGAAAATTTTTATTAAACCAGTAGACCAGGAGAAACTGGCAAACTCCAGTAGTCTACTGGAAAGTCTGGTAGAGTTGGAATCTATGCTGTATAAGTATTTTTAGTGATTTGCAATTTTCAGAAAGATTACTAATTTCGTAATTGATTATAACTATTTTTTTTAATAATTTATAACAAATGTATTAAAATTTATACTAATAATGCTTTTAGGCTTTTGCCTTACATAATAGCTTCACTTCTACCTAAAAAAATAAATAAATAAAATAAAATGGCATTAAAAAGTAGACACTAATTTAAGGGGAGGAAATTCTAACTAAAATTACAACTCTCTGAAGGTAAACATATTTTAGTAGTTTAACTTTTAAATCTATCGATCATATTTTATGACATTTGAGTTCATCATTTAAACAATAATCAATGAATATGAGTAGTACATTTATACTCCCAATCAGATCTTGTTTGGTGAAATCGAAATATTGTAGATATTGCTGATACGTTCTGATTCTCGCACTCACCTGAGCATATTAAAAGTAAATGGTGTTCTAATTCGGAGTTTAGAATACAAACTAAGCAAAATAAAACCGGAAAGACCAGGGTAATTAATTTAAAGAGCAACTGATCCATTTAAGTGCAAGATAATGACTCATGAAGAAATCTTATTACAAATTTTAAAATTCTATGTCTATAAAATTACTCAAGATAGTGTTTGTAACCGTTGAGAGGCTTTCAAAATACTATTTCCCTTTTCATTCTAATTTACAATACGTCATCGCCAATTCCAAGATGGTGCTGAACCTTCCACATAAATTAAGTAAAAGAGCATAGATACCTTTGCCTTTGCAAAAGGTTTCAAAATTACATATTTGGAAAAAAAATAATATATATATATATATATCTGTAAAAATTNTGCGATAGTCCAGTTCCTGCCCGGAAGGAATTATGAGTCACCCTGTATATATATATATATATATATATATATATATAATAAATACAAGAAAACAGATACAAGAAAGTTAAGAGAAACAATAAGTTTCATTTATTGCGCTTAAGTTGCAAGTAAACAGAGCTCATTAGATAAGTTCAAAATGTAGAATAAAACAAAGAAAAATTATAGACATATGAAAAAAAAAGGGGGGGGGGAATAATAAGTAAAAAAATAACAAACAACAGTTTAAAAAAAAAAAGGATGAAATTTTATTTAAAAAACCGGAAAAAAAGGAAAAAAAAAGATATAATCTTTTCATTAGCTCACACGATTATATCCGCAAAACAGAGTGCTTTCTGATATTGTATCAATAAAGCCAAAGCAAAATATATGAAATCGTTTACCTCGTCACAAACTTGTTGTATCTTTGGGAATATCAGAATTGAATAATGTGTTATAATTTAATAGTTAACCAACTTGGACATTAAAAAAAAGAGAAAATTGGCTTAATTCTGGCAAATATATGTATACAAATCGAAACCCCTTCCGAAATTATGCATCGCATGCTTGATTAATGAGCTATTCGGTTCGGTAAGTCAGATGTAGGCACATAAAATTTTCATGATTCAATTTTTTTTAAATTTAAACATTAGATATTAATTGAATAAATTAAACATAATATATAATAATAATTAAACATATATATATGTATATATATCTGCAAACTTGTACTGTCGTTGAGAAAAATACTTCTTACTAGTAGCAACATTACAGACGTTTGACATATTAAATCTTCAATTTAAAAATTAAAAAAATAAAACATTTCTATCTACCATGACAAATTAATAAATAAAAAGTAAGCAAATATAATCTATTTGTTAGCTCACAAATTTTTGATTAGTTTAATTATTGAAAAATCTTTTTCATCGAACTTACAAGTTGGCGGCAGGTGTGAAAAAATATAAATATAAGCATGTCATCCCCTCCAAACATGCTATAAAACTACGCCACTGTTCGTGAATATGAGAATTGAATAATGTGATATGATTAAAAAGTTAAGCAGCCTGGACATGAAAAAAGAGGAAATCGACGTAATCCTTGCAATATATAATTATATATATTAAAAACAGCACATACCTGCCAAGATCAGTACTGGGACTTTCAACAAATTCGCTCACTCTAGGAGCATTAATTCGACTTCATCTTCAGCTGATTTAAGTTTTCGGGTTCGCTTAATAAAAACAACTTTTATTCCACTTACATGATGTGTTGAGATATAAATCTTAGGAGACGAAATTAGATTTAAATGTAACGAAGAGAAAAGATAAATAGACTGCACGCGTAGCGGATAATGATAAACAGCATCTTAACGGGCTACGATTGCGGTTGCGAGCATATAGTTTATTTCAGTATTTAGAGATATCGATCGATGTCGCTACAAAAACGCAATCACAANAAAAATACTTGTACTTTTACTCGTTACTTTTTAAAAGTAACGTTGCCATATATGGTTGCGAGTATATCGTTTATTTCAGTATTTAGAGATATCGATCGATGTCGCTACAAAAACGCAATCACAATATTGATATCAAATATTGTCCGGGTGTTGTTCGGATAACTTAAAATTTATATTTGAAATTTGGAAATATAAGAATTTGACGTCATTTTTTGTCTTTTAAATGATTAATTTTGATTAAAGAACACAATAAAGTTTAAAATGAAAAGTTTTACAAGGAGACTTTTAACGTAAAATCAACGGGAATCGTACAATATCGTACACACAATGTCGATTTTCTCCGATATTGACAATGTCGGTCGATGTAGACTAAAGCTGTTACAATATCCCTGTGCTACTTGGGTATGTAACAAAGGAAGAGAGAAGAGAAGAAAAAGAGAGTCATTTAAAAGGTATAGAAACAAAACAGAAATATTTGTTCAAAATAATGGACCCTTGCTTCCCAATTATTGGGGGACTCTATGGATCGGACTCCTTGAGCTCCCCTGGTTGCGACGCCCGTGTATTCAAGGTTCAAACAATATTATCCTCGCATCTTTGCACGTCGGTCGTTAGATCAAAAGTTATTTCGGGTATCTGTATCTTAAAAAGTTATTTTGAATGAAGCGAAGATGCAAAATAATAGCACTTGACAAAATTTATAGTGGTAATGAATTTAAAGATGCAGAGTAATAGCACCTAACAAAATTCATAGTGGTAATCAAAGTACAATTTGCTGCCATTACCATAATAAATATTTCTAAATAAACTTCGGAAGACGTATTTGTAATGCAAAGGACTATAATATAAATTTGTCCCCTTACATTTGACAGAATAAAGGTTTATAAAGCATTATGCACTCAAGAATAGTGTTAAGAAGTATTAATTTTACAATGAAAGGGTTTCGAAATTCTCAACTTTTAGTTAATCAAAACTTGATAAAAGTTTAAAATAAACGATGTTTTAGTACGATTATAAAAAGGAACGCAAGACAAAGAAGAAAAGCATACAAATTATTATCTTTCTTCACCGTTACTGTTGTCATAAGAACGCGTTCAGTAGAGTTATATCGTTAGTAGGTCGAAAATTTATAAAATACTTTTTTCATCATCATGTTCCTAGTGACGTCGATTTTCACGATCGAAATATATTTACCTCTCCATATTAAGTCTCTTTACCGCGGAGAATATTCATTTAAAAAACTTTGAAAACCGTAGTGTAACGATGAGAGATGGAGAGACAACAAAATCCTTTATTCTTGTTACAGTTTTGTTCTATCTTCCAAACGAAATGCTGGTCAGGGGCTCATTTGTTGACATTTTATAATTTACTCATAAAGTAAATAAATAAGTATTATAAAATTATAAAGAAATATGCACAAAATAATAAAATATCACGTTTATCAATTTTCAAAATATTGAATGCGAGCAAAAAATAATTATTTTAAAAATGTTGAATTCCTTTCCATACAACTTTTCTGAATAATAACGATAGAGGGGGAGATATCTGACCCATCCGACTAAGAATATCGAAACGTTGTTCTTGTTCACTATGTGCACTTTAAGCTTTGTAAATCAGTCATAAAAAAGATAAATTTTTGAAGTCATATTTTAATGATCAGATCTTACAAACAAACTTTTCATTTCATTAATTTTCAATTTTAACCACAGTTTTGGATATGGCATGCGCATTACTTCTATGTCGAGTTAAAGCATCAGATCTTGTATAACGATGTCCACACATACGACACACATATACTTTTTTTTCAGAGACTTGAAGATGAGTTTTTAGATGTTTGCTTAAATGATCTTTGCGTCCAAAACATTTTCCACATGAATTACAATGGTGCGGTTTATAACCACTATGAATTCTTCGATGCCTTGTTAATTCTTCATTTCTGGCGAAAGACTTGGAGCAATTTGGATCGTCACATGCAAAGGGTTTTGAACCTAAAAATACATGTTTCAAGAATTAATAAGAGAAAAGTGGAAGGACACTTGATATATACACCGAAGAGCCATTGCATTATGACCACCCTGCTAATAAGATGTAGGACCACTCTTAGCCCTCGAAACTGCTAGCACCCGCCGTGGCATTGATTCCACAAGGTGCTGACAGGCAGTCTGAGGTGTCTGGTACCAAGCGCTCACCAACTGGTCCTGCAATTCCCTCACATTGCGAGGGGGTAGCGTGGCAGCACAAATTTGGTTTTCCAAGTAGGACCACAAATGCTCTATTGGATTAAGGTCAGGGGAATTTGGGGGCCAAGACATGACTTGAAAGTCACTGGAATGTTCCTTCACGATTCGACCTTTATGACATGGTGCATTATCCTGTTGGTAAACACCATCCCCCGCAGGAAAAACTGTTGCCATGAATGGATGAATCTAGTCTGCAACTATGTTCAAGTAGCTTACAGACGTCAGGGATTGTTCTGTGAGGATTATGGGTCCTAATGTGCCCTGATGTGCCTGGGCGAGAAACCAAGAAAACCTGGGCGAGCCCATTGTTATAGATGGAGGGTGGTCATAATGTAATGGCTCTTCGGTGTATATATATATATATTGTATCTTTTTTGAAAAATGATTTTTGAATTTAGTGAATTCCATTGTTTCATAAATGAATCTTAGGCACCAATATGTTGCAGTTTTGGTGTAATCAATTTCAAAAATTTCGTCGTCTTATATAAAATTCTGAACGATGTACGCTACGAGATCTACCATTCTCCAAATTATTTGTTATTCGGTTTATAGGATAGTAAAAATATTNAAATGAATCTTAGGCACCAATATAATGCAGTTTTGGTGTAATCAATTTCAAAAATTTCGTCGTCTTATATAAAATTCTGAACGATGTACGCTACGAGATCTACCATTCTCCAAATTATTTGTTATTCGGTTTATAGGATAGTAAAAATATTATGTCTTCATCGTAGCAGCAGAGTAGTTTTTTTTTGTTGTATTTATTTAACGAATGTTTAACTGATTGTTTTATTTATTGACTAAAATAAAGCAGAAAATCATTAAATCAATAATCATTAGTGGAAAAATTTTTATCAAAAAACAAGTTAGCTTTTATTTTCATTATTGAAAATAAATTTTATTGTCAAATGCGTTTTATACAGCTTTAAACCTAACTTTCTTTTGGAATTCGATAAATAAATCTTCAGGTTAAAATAAAAATTTAGGTTCAATGAATTGAATATCACATTGTTCGTTTTGATAAGTCTATTTCACTTTTAGTTATAGCAAATCTATTTCAATAGCTGCCAGTAAACTTAGTTTTATCACAGAATATATTTAAAAAATATGCTTATTTGTTGATAAAGAAATCATACTAATTTCTTAATATTTGCAATTTTCTTAAGATTTTTTTTTTCTAATGGTAGTGAAATAACAATAACTGTAAGCAGAAATTTCTTAAATTTTATTAGCACAACATCAATGATCATCAGATGTTTTAATTAAGAATATTGATGATCACGAATGCAAAAAATTAAATATCAAATCTTACTTTCAATCAAAATAGAATCTTGAGGTTGAAACAGAAAAAGTTGGCAGTTATGTTATTTATAAATTTTTTAGAGCCGCTCCTGATGTTTTGTTATCGTATGTAAGAATAACATCAGACGCTTATTTGTGATTCGGTCAAGTAAAGAATTTCATTCGGCAAAACGAGAATTTTCCGACAAAATATAAGTTCGCGGCTTCCCTGTGTTATAGAAGAAGGTGAATCTTTCTGAAGAGATAAAAATATGCTTTAAGATGGTTCAACATTATTTTTAGACCATTCAAAAGATGTATAGTTTAAGTTTTATCTTGATTTGCTTTATCTTGATTTCTTATTATCCAAAATTTATCTTCATGTGTGTGGTTTCTAGGAAATATATTTGATTATGGTTGCCGTGTTACGAAAATAAAGTATTTTATTAGGTATGTCTACTAGATTATTTACTGAACGCAAAATGAAAAGAGAAGTAAAAGAAGTGTTATAGCACTTTTTTTCCCCACAGCATTGTGAGAATACAACTTCTTTCGAGTCGGAATAGAAACTAATTATAGTAAAATTCAAAATAAACGAATACTGAAAAAAAAAACAGCATCAAATTTATGTTTAATTTTATTTTTGCAGGTACCGTAAATAAAATAAATCTTTTGAAAGATCTGCAAAGATACTTTTGCTGGGCATTGAATAAGAGTTGAAAACATATTTTTATTAAAGAGCTACGAAATTTCTTTATTGTTTTATTACTCTTTAGGATAATTTTATACGCAATGGTATTTTTTTCTTCTTTCGCAAAAAAAGATTGGAAAAAAACGAACATCTTACTCAGGAGTATTCAAAATTGGAAATAAAAAATTAATTGGAAAATTTTGCTTATAAAATATCTCAGCAGAAAACAAGAAAGCACACACACAAGCATGTATATATGTATGTATGTATGTATTAAGCTAGCAATCTGTTATTAATCCTATTTTAATTTTTAATAAATACTTCCTGCTCTTCGAGTTTGAATCAATGTTGACGTTTATAAAGTGTAAAAGAAACTAATGCTGCAAAGAGAAATTAAAATTAGTGTTTAACGTTATTTCTGCTGTCATTGTAAAAGAATGAAAAATATTAAAGATTAACAAAGAACTGAGAGATGCTGGACATTGAATAGGGTTAAACGTGGTAACGGATAACTTAAAACTTTCTTTTGAAGCATTTCAAATGAAACATTTACTTCATTATTTTTATAATCTTTTGTATGATTATCCAAAATGAAAAGGAGAAAAAAAAACCTTTTTCAATAATATTAAATGAAGTAGGAAAAATTTTACCGATAAAACGCATTTGCAAAAATGAATTAAATTATTTTATAAGTAATCTTTTCGTAATATTTTTTTAATAAATCTGTTGTGTTAATTTTTATATCGTTTCATAAAATAGAAGCATACATAATCATTGCAATAAATAGCCGTGCCTTGATACTACCCCTTATGAGCATCTAGGCTGTGGCAGGAATGATGGACTGTAATTATCGCCAGGGGGTAAAGTGGGGTGGGGTTTTGGGCAAATCGTCAGGGACAGCGAATATGAAATATTAGAGTTTTAAAAGATTCATCTAAAAATTTAATAATTGATGTATCATTTCATTTTTCATAAACATGAGCTGAATAATCATCATTGTAATCCTTCGAATGATCAAGATCTAAATAATTAACACCTAAAAAGGTCTAAAAAATAAGGTTTCTAAGATTTACAAAATTAACATTTCACTTAACACCTAACATACTAACAAGTTCTTCGGGATCACTCTCATCAATATCATAGACATAGGGGTAGACTTTTTGTTTTTAGAAAACTGCTCGTTTATTTCAACTTTTATGTATATATGTAGATTTATTTTTATATGTATGTATATTTATACATAAATGTATATGCAAAACTTAAATATACGAACAGTTTTTTAAAAACAAAAAGTGTGCTTCCCGTTTACTCTACACCAGTGTTTCCCAACGTGGTGCCCACGCCCCACCGAGGGGCAATTCGATTGTAAAGGGGGGCAATTCAAAAATGGACTCGATATGAGTTTAAACCTTTTGCTCTGGGCCATTTAAATGCAATTCAAGATTTCGGTGACAAAATCGAAAGAAAAAAGCAAATTCTTAAATAATTGCGGTCAATAAATATTATGTGACTTAGGGATTTTTTAAGCGACAAACCTGAAATGAAGTGCCTGTTTACAGTCGATGGTAAAGCATTTGTGAGTTATTTAGCCAATATCTTTGAAAAACTGAATATATTAAATAAGAAACCTCAAGGAACAAATAAAACAAGGAACAAACAAAAGCGACGATATTTGGCTTCATTACCCTTATTGAGTTATGTCAGAAATATATTAACAACAAAACCTTTGAACAGTTTCATTGGCTCCAAAAATGTGAAGTAAATGATACCGCTTTACTTGTTATTGTCTATCATCTTCATATTTAGCTGAATGTGGATTTTGTACTGTAAATTATTTTATTGGTAAAAAAACAAACAAATTGTCTGTATATAACACAACGGGGAGACTTGAGACTGAAGCTAACCAAATTGGAACCTAAGATAAAATCTACGTGCAGCAAGCATCAAGGGCAAGAATCTCACTAAATTAAAATATTAAATTAGTATAGAAAAATCTTTATTAAAATTATTCCGAATTTGAATTTTTCATTATATGTTCTGAAAATTTACTTACTTTGTTTCGCTAACAATTTCCTAAGTTTCTTAAGTGAACAATTCGATTTTTTAATATTAAAAATTATGTATATGTTACATAGGAGGGGCATAAGAATTTTAGAAAGGCTTAGGTGGGGCATGGTACAAAAAAGGTTGGGAAACACTGCTCTACACCTATCATCATAGATAAACTTATTGAAAAAGCTTAATGATTTTCAACTAATTAAACTTTTGATAGTAATTGAATATATATATATATTTGGCAGACTTGTTTTTACAACTAAAAGATGATGTCTATTCAAATTTCGCGCTTGGTGGATAAGTTTGGCACTTGGAGCGCCACTGTGAACATGCAAATCAGGGTTGCTTTAAATACGTGTTCTACAGCTCTTAAGCTTTATTTTTCGTTAAATTTCGACATAGTGAGTTGTTATCAGTCAAGAATGCTTTTAAGAAGACGAAAAAGCCATTAACAACAACTCACTGACTTGCCCGTGGTCGTGTAATAGGGTTGCGAGAAGGTAGATTTTCTTTCCGCGATATTGCAGAAAGACTGAGATGAAATGTATCCACTGTGCGTGATTCTTGACAGCATTGATCAAGGGAAGGTACTGCTTCAAGAAGATCAGGTTCTGAGCAGCCACGCGGCGCTTCTTGGAGAGAAGACAATCGTGTATGACTATGGCGTACTGTACTGCGTCTGCCTCAGAAATTCGAGCTACAGTTGACACTGCAGTGACTC